TATGGCCTCCCTCCCTCCCCTGCCTCCCTCCCTCCCTGCCCCTCCCTCCATGCCTGCAGGCCCTGGACGAGCAGGAGCTGGCGCATGTGTTGTGCCGCCCCAGGAACGCGCTGTCCAAGCAGTACTCGGGCATCTTTGGGAAGAACGGTTGCCGCTTCCACGCCACCCCCGCCGGCGTGGCCGCCATTGCGCGCGAGGCGCGGACCAAGGGGGTCGGCGCCCGCGGCCTGCGGTCCATCCTGGAGCGGGCGCTGCTGGAGGCGATGTTCCATGTGGGTGTGGGGCTGAGGCGGGGGCGCAGGAGGGCCGCTGGGGCTGCCCCCGTGCCCTGCGCTGCCTGCCCCTGTGCCCCTGCCCCAGCTGGCCCTTCCCCAGCCGGCCCGCCCTGCCTGGCTGCCGGCTGTATGAGGTTGCCGGCTGTGTGAGGCTGCGGGTTGTGCCGCGCGGAGCCGCGGGTTGTGCGGGAGCATGCGACGCCCGCCGGCCATCCCCTGCCGCACACACCCACACCACACGACTGCACCTGTGGCCCACCCCCGCCCCCGCAGGCCGCCGACGCGGATGTGGAGGGCGTGGTGCTGCACGGCCTGCCCGACGGGGGGCTGGCGCCCGCGCACATCTGCCGCGGCGCGGGATCCTTCGAGGCCCAGCTCCGCACCATCGGCGAGCCGCTGCCCGCGGCAGACGGCGGCGGCGGCGGCGGCGGCGAGGGCGAGGGCGGCGAGGGCGAGGGCGGCCCCGGCCAGGAGCGGGAGGAGCTGCCGCAGGCCGCCACAGTCAGCTGAGCGCCTGCCGCGCGCCCCGGGCATCCTGCCGGGCGTGCGTGGAGCGCTGCCGCCTCCAGCGCCGGCTGGGGCTCCCACCTCCGCCTCCTCCCACTCTCACCTCCGCCTGCTCCCAGCCTGTGCCCCGATGCGCCCCGATGTCTGGCCCGCCCTGCCGGGCCCCGCCCTGCTATTCCTCCTCCCCCTGTTGTGCTTTGCTGTACCATCATCACCGCTGCTCTGCGCTGTGGCCTCACCCGCCCAGGGTTTTTCCTCCCGTGCCGCTGCCCACCGGCGCGGCCACAGCCCGCCTGCTGTGCCAACCTGCCTGCCTCCGCCCGCGGTGCGCTGCACACGCCGGGGCGGCTGCTGTTGCGCTGTTGCCACACCTGCCTGTATGCCACACACCGCCCTCCCTGTGCTTCGTGTGCCCCCCGTGCACACAAAGCGCCCCCTTCTGCCACCCATTTCGTCTCTCTTATTGTGTTTGCCTGCCGCCTCCGCATCCCGCAGCGCATGCACCCCCCTAGCGACGCACATTCTCTGTACTACGCACCCGCTGCCCCTTCTCTCTGTAATGCTACTACGCGCCAGGAGCCTGCAGCAGGGCAGAGGCGCAGCGCATGCCATCTTGCGCAGTGTGCCTCTTCGGCTTCGACTGCTCGCAAGTTCAAGGGTCGATGCCGGCGGGGCGCTGAGCTGGGCAGCAGGAAAGAGCCGCGCCCTGGATGCTCCTGGCCTCTGCCCGTCTTCCTAGTTGCTGTGTTCACCATTCACCGCAAGATGCTCGCACAGCTGCCCACCATGGCGCCCCCAGGCCCCCCAGACTGGGGCGAACTGCCCGAGGAGCTGCTGTGCCGTGTGCTCTCGCTGGCTGGCAGGGACCAGGGGTGAGTGAGCCAGTCGAGGCAGCAGGGGAGCCTGCCGTTGGGTTGGGTGTGCTGCGGCACAGCCACGTGCCGCAGCAGGCCACCGGCCGGCGCCCACCACCTGACCTTCCTGCGCCGGGCCCTGCGCTGCAGCCCCATCGTCACGCTCGTCAACCGGCGCTGGCGGAGCTGCTTCTATGCGGAACCCAGCCTGTGGAGGAGCCTGGAGATTAGGCCCGGCACGCTGGCCGCCCTGAGCGCCCCCGACAAGCGGGGGTGGTTTGCCGGCAAGCTGCGCCTGGTGCGCCTTGTCGGCCCGCTGCTGCAAGAGCTGCGGCTGGTGGATGCAGAAGCTGTCATCGAGGATGCAGCCGGCAGCACGCCCGGTGCCTGGCGGCTGGCAGACCTGCTGCGCTGCCTGGAGGCCAGGGAATTCAGCAGCCTGGCCATCATCAGAAACTTGGGGCGCGACGTCTTCGAGGACGGCTTCCCATTCCCGGAGCTGCACCGCCTGATGCAGACAACAAAGCTGGACCTGGCGGCTGGCCGCCTCACACACGCGGCACAGCTGCTGGGCGGCTTGACGCAGCTGCGCCACCTGAGCTGCATCTTTGGCAACCCGCCGCCCGACGAGTTCGCTAGCGTCGTGGCCCAGCTGGCGCACCTTGCAACCCTGAAGCTCTATGCCCCCGCCTTCCCGCCCCTGCAATCCCTGACGCGGCTGCAGCACCTGCGGCACTGTTCGCTGTGGTGTCATTGGGGGCCTGATGCGCCGCTGCCAAGCCCGTCCCTGTTCCCCAGACTGGAGTCTTGCAGCCTGAAGGCCATCTGGGGTCGGCTGCTGGAGGTGAGCCAGCAGCCAGGAGCGAGCAAGCTGGCAGCTGCACCTGCCCTCTAACCCATGCTGTGCTTCTTCACTGTGGGCAGGTGGAAGGCTGTCTGCTGAAGAGTTGCAGCCTGACGGAGGCAGTGGGTCTTGGTGTGCGCGGCTTCCATCTGAGGCTGGGGGGCGTGCAGCGGATGCAGTCCCTGGAGCAACTGCTGGAGGCAATGGGCGGCGCAGTCGCCCCCATGATTGCTCTGGACCTGGTGGAAAGCCACCTGCCCGAGCCCGCGCTGCGCCACTGCAGTCATGCGCTGTCAAACGTGCGTTGGCTGAGGCTCCCCAACTGCAGCTTTGGCGATGGTGGGGCGGACGCGGCCCTTCAGACCATGCTGCCGCAGGCAGCCCGGCTGAGCATGCTGGGCTTGGCAGGCTGCCTGCGCGGAACCCTCTCGGCCCGCTCCCGGGCTGGGACAACAGGACTTGAAGCTCTCATATTAGCGAACAATGACCTCACGCAGATTCCAGCCGGGGGATACCTCACAGGTGCCGCACGTCCCTGTCAGCCTTCCAGCCTGCTTCTTGATCAGGTGTGGCTGCTGAGCTCCCTCGGAATGCCGGCGCAGGGCTGACGCACCTGGACCTGAGCAGGAATGCGTTCCGGCACCTGCCGCCTGCGCTCGCGTCTGCGGCCGCGCTGCAGCATCTGCTGCTGAGCGGCAACACTGGGCTGGAGCTGACCGGCGATGACGTCAGCGGCGGCGGCGTGCTGGCCCGCCTGCCGCACCTGGAGCGCATCGAGCTGGACGCCGAGGCCGCCAGCTGCATGCCCGCCTCCGTGCGCCAGTTCCTGGGCAGCAGGCTGGAGATCAGCACTGCCTGGGCAGGCGCCTGAGCATCAATCGCGACACTCGACTCAGCGCCACAACTTGCTTCCCAGCCAGGCTTGCATGCACTGTGCCCTGTACATAATGCCCCCTGTTACACTTGCATGGACGCGGAGGAGGGGCGGCGCCGCAGCATGGGCACCGCGATCGTGCGCAGCGTGCACAGCGCGGCCAGCAGCGGCGGCACCGCCAGCATGGCCAGCAGGTGGGCGCCAAAGTAGCGCACGGACGGCGTGCCGTACAGCGCGCACAGGCACTCGCGCTCCCCCACCTCCACCTCCGCCTGCTGCTGCAGGATGAGGTGCCAGGCCAGCTCCAGTGCCTTGGCAGCCTGCCTGGACCCCAGCGCCGTGCCGGCCAGCCAGTCACGGGCCGCAGAGTAGAACTCGAGAGGGTGGTGCCGGATGGCGGCGGCGCTGGTCACGAACTCGGAGCAGCAGGGGCCCGACACCACGGCCGGCAGCGGGCCCAGGTGCGCCCCGAAAAACTCCTCCCACGCCTGCGGGCGCAGCAAGCGAGGCAGGAGGGGAGCGGCGGGTGGGCGGCAGCAGCGCAGGGCCGCTGCCGTGGCCGCGCAGGTGTGGGCAACGCAACAGGCATGCACGGCGGCGGCAGCGGGGCGAGCGTGGCACCCGCCTGCGCCAGGAAGCGGGCCGCCGGCTGCGCCCACGGGCTGTTGGCGCTGAGGTTGGTGGGCAGCACGCGGAAGCTGAACTCTCCTCCCGGCTGCGCGGCAGGCAGGCAGGTTGGCAGGCAGGTTGGCAGGCAGGCAGGCAGGCAGGTGGGCTTGGAGGCAATACATATGCAATGGCTTGCGGGGTCGGCATCGGCAGGAGTGCTGCCGGGGCTGACCGGGCGCACGCGGCGCCGCGGCGCACCCCCCGCCGCGCCCTGCACCCTGCAAGCTCCCCAGCGGCGGCGCCTCACCGGCCTGCACTGAGCGCCCAGGTAGCCTCTCGGCAGGCGGGCGGGCGGCTGCTGCAGCAGGTGCTGCAGCACCCAGGTGTTGGGCACGCGGCTGTGCCGCCCGCTGTAGCCGCGCAGGAAGGCGACTACGTCTGGCAGCCGCTCATACTCCTCCACTATGGCTGTCAGGTAGGCAAGAGCCTCCTCGCCCTTGCCCTCCCCCGGCACGCTGCGCTGCTCCACGGCCGTGGGGGCCCACGCCGCCTCCCCGTCCCCCGCATCCCTGATCAGCGCCGTGAGGAACGACTTGTGCCGCGCCTTGGCCTTGCCGCCGCGCGCCTTGCCCGGCGGCGCCCCGCCGCCACCCGGCGCCGGCTTGGCAGCGCCGAGGCTGCGGCGGCGGCCGCCGCTGCTGCTGCTGCTCGCGTCCCAGTCGCTGCCGCTGCCGCTGCCGTTGCCGGCGCTGCCGGTACTGCCGCCATCCATGCGGTACACCAGCACGCTGGCGCTGGCTGACCTGGCGCGGATGGCATCCACAGCGTACTGCACCCAGGCGGTGTCTGGGCTGGCGCTGGCCACCACCACCTTGAGGCTGGCATCCGGCGGCACATAGCTGACGTCGCCCTGCCGGTCGCGCCCGCCAGAGCTCCTCACCGCGGGACAGGCGGCGGCGGAGCTGGGCGTCCCGCTCGCGCCGCCCCAGCCCGTCTGCTGGAAGATGAAGAGGGAGGGGAAGAAGAGCACGGCCACCACGCCCAGCACGGCAATGCCGGGAGACCAGGCCTTGGGGGCCGAGCGCGGCGGCATGTGGCGGGGCGGGCGGCGCCGCGCTGCGCGGCGGGCGGAGGGAGGGCAGGGCGGGCGGCGGGCTGTGGCGGCAGCTGGCGGCGCGGCGCTGGGGAGGATGTGCCGATGGTGCAGTGGCACGCCTATTCAACACCAGATTGGCTCACCGCGAGGATCAAGCTCGGGGGGTTGGGCAGCGATCAAGGGGGGACGCTTCCAGCTGCTCATACGATCATCGCATGTTGCTGCACAAGGTCTGCAGCTGCTCTTGTTCAAGCGCAGGCGAGGCGTGATGTGCCCCGTGGCACAGCATGGTCCCAAAAGATGAAGTAAGTTCGCGGTAAACCGGAGTGATGCCGCGGCCAGGAACATGCTGGACGATCCGGATACAGCAATACACGTAAATTGGATCCTCCGGCGGCCTGCAAACCGAGTGCCGGCAAACCTGTGCTAACAGAGTAGCCCGTTCGAGTTGTGCCTGGCCACCCACGCCCCTGCTGCTCTCCACGCCGTCCACCTGACATTTATCGCCTCCCTCGGCTTCCTTAAAGCCACCGGCTGGCCCAGTCCCCTCCCCTCCTTGCCAGCATCTGGTTGTCAGGGCCCCCCTCCACCGCTGCCCCAAATGGCGTCGGCAGCCTCCATTTCACCGAGAACGGCACGCCCATGCACCGCAGCAAGCAGTAGGGCGCGGGGCAGCGGCCGTGGGCGCTGTGTAGTGTTGGCAGCGGGACGGCACATGCAGGCGGTGCCCCCCGCCCCTCTGGGCGCCATCTTGCTTGTGTGGGCTTAAAGTCTGGTAAAGCAAGAACTAGCTTGCAACATAGACTCCCCGCCGAAACGGGACGGGAACCGGGCGAAAGCAGAGAAAGCAATAAAACAGGGGTGGAGCAAGGCGACATGCAACGCAAGCAGCTGACAGGGCACGCATCGAAACGTGTGTATGACTGGCAAAGTGGCATGGCGCATTGGGGAGAAACGCAACGGTACGGGAGCATGGGCTGGCCAAACGGCAGTGCGGAACGCTAGGTCACTAGAAAAGCAGGGAAAGGCGCACTATGTATGCAATGAGGGCAGCCCCGGCTCGGGGCCGTTGAGAAAGCAGTGGGCGGGAGGGGGGAGGCCCCGGTGTGGGCGGGCCCCATCGAGGGGGGATGGGGCGCGCAAGCGGCCAGATGGGGCGGGGCGCGGGCGGCAGTGGAGTCCTGCGGCTGGGTGGGATATAGGGCAATGAGCGTTGAGCAGTGTGCGATGAGCAATGAGCAATGAGCAGTGAGCAGCCCCTCCCTAAACAAAGTGAAGCGCAGGACGGGGTCCGGTGGATGGGAGGCAAGGAAACGCGGGGGGTTGCCACGTGCGCTACCGCCGCCGCCGCAGGCAGCACCCCTGCGGCGGCGGCAGCGGCAGCAAGCCGTGGACCCAAACGCCGTGCCGTCGCCGCCGCAGGCAGCACCCCTGCGACGGCGGCGGCAGCAAGCCGTGGACTGAAACGCCGTGCCGCCGAGTCTC